CCCTGGCCCTCCCTGGTCTTCTCCCCTCCGTGGCCGCAAAATCCTCCACTTAACCCATCATCCTTCTGCTCTCAGACTGCAGACCAGGAAGATCCTCCGAGAGCGATTTCATAACCTTGGGGACCTCTTATGGTTTAAGGAGTTTTTAAGATTTAAAAATAATAATTCATGATTTATTTTTAAAAATTGCTTAATTATTCTCAATGATTATTTTCTAGAAGCAAACTTAATTTCAAAATAATTTCCTTTCTGTTAAGCTATTAATCATTCTTCAATATATTTAACATTAAAGTAATGATGACTATTAGTGATACATATTAACACACAGTTCTAAACACTGGGAAGACTAAAACAGGCAACGTTCTTTACCCTCTGGGCTGGCAGTCAAGTAGGGGAGGCAGAAAATGAACAAATGAATCAGTAATTTAAAAAGTGAAGTCAGTTCTCACTAACAGCATCACCAGGTGCTTAGAACTATTACCCTGAGCAAAAGGACATAGAGAAGGCAGGTCCTGAAGTAAGATATTTTGATTGTCTATCAATCAACTTGGGTTTTTTTCTCATCAACATTATAATGAAGCAATTTTATTTGAGGCCCTGATAATACCATCTCTGATGAGAATCCTAACCCATAAGGACTTCCTTGCTTTCTGCCATTTAATCAGGCACTACAGGCCAATTTATTACCCACCCAATTTATATTAAAAGACCAAGCTCACTTCAAAATAAAGATGTCTTTCATTAATGGAAACACTTTTTTTTTGTATTCTGCACCAGTAGAAGCTACTCTCCTCATGATCAGTGGCATTCTAATGGAATGTGGTTATAAAGAAGAAAATTCTTCATTCATTGCCTTTTTGTTAATCTTATAGTTTACATATGATGTCCAGTCTGGGCAAAGCACAGTTGTAACTTCAAATGATTTCCCTGCAACCATTCCACAAAGTTAGGGTGTTTACATTTTTTAAAAAATTAAAACCACCATCAGAACATAAAGACTGTTTATGTCTTCATGAAAAACTGACCTTCAAAAACTGAGACTAACAGAATGTTTGTCCAGGAAGGGCTGAGACGTCTAAATGATTTTTATAATCTCTAAATTTGGGTAATAAAAGTGACACATAACTGGTGTATATGAAATGACATTTAGCAGTCAATAAAAAAATGTTACTGTTTTGTAGCAGACATATTTTTAGTGTTAGTTCTCCATTTCTGTAGAAAATGTCAAGCATGAGCTTCTTCGAACGTGGTTCTATTAAACCTAAAACATTAAATTCTGAACAAAACTCAAAATTATGAAAATGTGATTTACAATTCTGAGTCCTTAAGAGATGGATTTTTAGAAATTAAATTAAAAATAGTGCTGCACGGGCCCTCCCTGGTGGCACAGCGGGTTAAAGCACAGCACTGAGAATCTAAAGCCGCTTCCACATGAGTTCGATTCCCGCCTGCCCCGGAGGTGACCACATGGCTTGGCAGACCTCTCCTGACCCGCCGGCTGCTCCCCTCAGCAGTGTACTTCCTCCATCTGCCTGTTCTGTTCCCCGCTCTGTCTCTGGTGAAGCCTCTCACCGCCCCTGAGCCTCTGGCCTGTACCCCAGTTCTGTATGCACAATAAATAAATCTTTAAAAAAAAAAATAGTGCTGCACACTTACTTTATTAAACTTTTCTCTTTGTCAATACCTGTAAACTACTCTTTTTTAAAATAGCTCTATCTTACTTTTTATTTATTTATGTCACCATGTTCTATCTTTGTTACATTGTGAGTCCAAAACCATAAACTAAAATAGGTTTTAATACACTAGTATTTTAAATTATGCCCGAAAATGTGGTGTTACAAACCAGTTTCAGTGCTAACTAGTTTTTTGACTAATGTTTTAAAAAATGTTTTAGCCTCTGGAATCACACAGAAAACAAAATGTACACATAAACCATTGTTTCAATAATACTAGTTTTTATAATTGCCCTACTAGTTACCTTTATTGAGGTTTTTTTTTTTTCTTTCAAAGTTTTCTTCATATACCTTAGAGTTAGGGACTAGGTCCTTTCATTTTTTTGAAAGCAGGTGTAAAATACTCTTTAACAAACAATTCGCCCATATTCCAAACCAACACTTTTACTTCCATGTCACCTGTGGTGATGTTATAACTCTGTCCTTCCTTCATTTATTAGTTGAGCTGTTTCTCTAACAAGAGACTCATCTATTCTTTGGTTAGTGCTTCAGTTCACATATAGGAGAGTCCAGAAAAATGCTTCATTCTTTTTCTTATTTACTAGTCTTCAAAATAATGAGTTGATTTCTTTGAAGGTGGCTATGACTTTTAAAGTACCATTTGAATCCATGGATTTCAACACAAATAGATATTCCATTCACACTGCAGTTATTTATCTTATTATGCTCAGGTCGGTCCACCTTCAGTCTGTGAGAGCCTTTCTTTCTATTGGTTCCTGTGTCTCCTGAAATGCCCTCAGCAGTCTTTGATCTCTGTGGCTCCTGGATCACCCAGCCTCAAACCTGAGAAATGTGTTTCAGCAAATTGTAAAACTTTATTGAGAGCACTTTATTTTTGTTTAAAGATTTACTTTATTTATGCATTTAAGAAGTGGGGTATAGGCCAGTAGGGAGTGTGTGTGTGAGAGAGGACTCTCCAGAGACAGAGTGGGGAGCAGAACAGGCAGATGTACTGAAATACACCACTGAGGGGAGTGGCAGGAGAGACAGGAGAGGTCTGCTGTGCTATGTGGGGTGACCCTCCCTGGGTGGGGATCAAACTCATGCTACAGTGGCTGAAGATAGCTTCATAGTGCTGAGACCTAGCTCCTTGAGTCACCAAGGAGGCCTAAACTTGCAGTTATTAAGGAAGTTCGCCCACTGGAAGCTTTGGGGAAATTCTAACAGCCATGCATAGTAAATAGTAAGTGTTGGCTGACTGAAAAAATGAATGATCATCTTCCCTCGATTTTAGGTGTCTTGGTATCAGAACACTTTTGCTTCTAAGAAGTCGTTGCTGAATAAAGAAGGAATGAAAACCAAGGACCACTGTTCTCAGATCAGGTAGAACCCCAAAATATGTTGTTTTCTACCACCCTCTGGTGGGGAAGGGCAGAGAACTGTCTTCTAATGCCTTAATATCTTCTAGTGCAATGTTTTCTAAATTTAGATCCTCACCCATTAGTGAGTTGTAAAATGTGAACAGCATTTAAAAGAAAAACTGAATTGAGTTTATAATTGAATTGAAATATTAGAGTGCCTCACATACAATGTCCAAACTGTCGTAAGCTATAATTATAGCTGCATCTATACAGCTATTAGCATATATACTCACACATATAAGTCCATGACCAACCTACACTTTCAATTCAACTGTGTTTTGACAAAGATATACCACAATTTTAAAAATCAAGGTGGTTGTCGTGGGTTGAATGTGGATCCTCAAAGAGAGAAGTCTAAGACTTTATCTGTGACACCAGTGATTGTGACATTATTGGCAAATCTAATCTTTTAATTAAGGTAATCTTATGACTGGATTCTCCTTGATTTAGGATAATAGACAGGAGAGGACACTCAGCCCCACAGAGGGAGAAGCACACCTGAGAGGAGGCAGAAATTGGATTCATGCTAGGGATTGCCCGCAGGCACCAGCAACTAGGAGACAGGTACTGGTGTTGAAAGGCAGAAGCTACAACTTTCCAGATCTAACAGACTTTATTAAGTGATTCATGCATCAAGCAGTGTCTCATCTTTAGGCTGCAAACTGAAGCTTATTCAAAAACAGCAAGAGGGTGGGGCAAGGATATTAGCAGAAGAAAGGATTATTTCAAGTAAAGCCAGCTTTCTTGGGGGTGGGGGAGGGTCCGGTGGTGCCAATGACTTCACGGGGTTCCCATGTGCTGGGGAACCCCAGTGTGATTTAGGGTCACACCTTCCGGAGAGGTTGAAACTGCAATGAGTATTAAGTCTGAGTGGGGGCTCAGCATGAAGAACTCCATCTTGGGTCTGTGTTTTCTATTTTTAACAGAAGGAAATCCCTTTAGAGCCTCCAGAAGGCTCTAATTGCTAATAGCTGGATTTCAAACTTTAATTTCCAGAAGTGTGAGAGAACAACTTTCTGTTATTTTAAGCCAACACGTTTGTTGTCATTGTTATGGCAGCCCTGGAAAACGAATACAGTGGCAAAGGAATGACTCAAGGTTGGGCAACCTTGAATTAAGACACCCAGCCAAGGAGACGTTTTAACTCCGCGATCAATTGCATTACCAATATGCTCATCTGATTGACTAACTCCCAGTGCCCAGCATTTTCACTTAAGATAATAGGTTTTCTAAGTAAAAATAAATCTAGTCTGTAATTTAAAATTTAAGTTTAATAATTACTGTGTGTACTTACTTCTAAGGACATTTAATATCAACTTCCCATGCCTGGATCATGGTAAGGAACCTGAGTTCACTAGTGGGAGTCTTGGTAAGGGGTGATCTCTTGTCTTCCAGTTTTAAAGATAAAAAAAACTAAGGCTCAGAGAGAGTCAATGTCGGGGGGCGGCAAAATGATGTGACTACTGCTGCACTTCCCACACTGCTACCTTTATTCTTCCAGCAAATAATCCCGCCGACGCTTTTTCCCAGGACAGAGTGAAGCAGAGACACAAGCCACAACTTTCCAGCTAACTGACTTTAATAAATGATTCCTGCATCAGGCAGCATCCCACCTTTAGGCTGCAAATTGGAGCGTATTTAAAAACAGAAAGAGGGTGGGGCAAGGTTATTAGCAGAAGAAAAGATTCTTTCAGGTAAAGCCAGCTTCCCTAGCGGAGAGGGAGAGTCAAACCAGTCCAACCACCTAGTTGTTCCGCAGCAGGACCCTTAAAAAGGCGGCAAACCGGGAGTTCGGCGACTGGGGCGCTGCAGAAGCCACCAGTGACCAGGAGGGGGAGCACGCGGACTCCGGACCGCCTCAGGGGCGGGGCGGCACGGGGCGGGGCGGGGCGGGGGTGCGCCGGCCGCGCATGCGCTCGCCTGTAGTCTCGGCGCCGTCCGGGCTGAGAGCGAGACGGTGGCCGAGAGGACGCGGGCGGCGGACGGTGGCCGACGAGGTCGGGCATGGAGCACCTGGAACGCTGCGCGTGGTTCTTCAGGGGGACGCTGGTTCGGGCGGCGGTGCGACGCTACCTGCCCTGGACGCTCACCGCTTCCATGCTGGTGGGCTCCCTCCTCAAGGAGCTTTCCCCGCTGCCCGAGAGCTACCTCAGCAACAAGCGCAACGTCCTCAACGTGTGAGTGCTCCGGTCCTCTTCTGCCCCGCCATAGCCGCCCCGCCGCCGCCGCCGGGCCGGGGGACCGGGGTGGGCGGCCCGAGCGAGGGCAGGGCAGGGCAGGGCAGGCCCGCTCCCGAGCTGACTGCGGCGTCCGCGCGCGCCGAGCGCGACCCGGGCCGCCAGGCTCGGGGTGTCACCGGCACTTGGCGTTTGCACGCCCGGGCGGGACACCGTGCGCCTCCTGGCGGGTGACAGCGGCGGGTGTGTGTCCAGTCGTGCGGGGAGGTGCCCCCCGCCCGTGGCGCTGCTCCCCCTGCTCTCCGGCCGGAGTCGGGAGCTGCGCCCTGGCCTGGGAGCCGTCACCCCTCCTGCTGCTGTGTCGGACCTGCGCCTCGCCCGCCCCGAGGCCGCTCCCCGGGCTGGGGACCAAGCCCCGCTCTCCGCCGGCGAGAGCCTTGACCCAGCCTGGGACTAAAGTCCCCGTGCAAAGTGGTGACGCGGGAGGGGAACCCGCCCGGCCGGACCTTTCCCCTGGATCGCCTGGACCATCCTGGCCACTCTGAGTTCATGGCCGCGGTCCGGGAAAGCAGCCCTGCCAAAGCAACCCTGCCAGCCGGGCGCTTGGAGACGGCTGCTTCGCGCCGCGGGCTCCCGCTTTCTTTCCTTGGCTCCCCGGTTTTAAGTTCACTGTGCAGACGTGGCTCCAGTAGGGAAGGGAAACTTTGAGAAAGTTCTCCCTGATGTGAGGCTGCTGTTTTTAGAAAAAGCGTCAGCTCTCTCTCCTCAAAGACAACCCCACTTTGATTCTGGACGTCTCAGCCTGGTTTCTCTCCCAGGCAGCTGGCTCACAGCCTGACAGGTCTTGGTTGTGGCAGGATCCTTGCATATCAGACCCAGAGGAGACTGTCGTGATGGCCCTTGGATGGTGCCTGTGACATCTTTGGAACCCAAGGAAGAGCCAATCTGTCCTTGGTCCACCTTCCTTCCCCAGGAGGATGGGCTAAGAATAGAATGTGAGCGTGGAGGAAGCCCCGAGTAGCTTGGGTGTGTTTGCTGGGCCAGACTGGAAGCAGCCACCTTGATGAGAGCAGGGGAAGCAGATGAGGCAGCTGCTGCCTTTTCTGGCCAGGGTGCACAGGGGCCCAGGCCGCCTGGCAGGCAAGTCTCTTTTTGCTGGTAGCCATGGGTTCTGGCACCTTGTTACAAGCCTCTGCTAATTTACGGCAGGCAACTCGTGACTCATTGGCGCTGGAAGGAATTTTTAAAACCATGTGGTCCCCTTAACTCTGTTCAACAGCTGAGGAAACTGACCGAGAGAGTGGCTGTGAGTTAACATAGAGTCAGGATTTGAACATGGGTCGCATAGAGGGAAGTCAGGTTCTGTTCCCAGGTCATTTATGCCATGTACGAAAGACCCATGGTGGAGAAGAACATGGGCGTTGCTGGCCATGCCCACAAATTACCTAACATTTCTGAGCCCCGAAAAGGTAGCAAATGAGGGTTTCCCTGGTGGAGTAGGGGTTAAAGACACAGTGCTATCAAGCTATAGCCAGCCACTTTGGTGCAAGTTCAATCCCTGGCCAGGGAGGTGACCCACAGGGTGCAGCAGACCTCTCCTGTCTCGTCCGCTGCTCCCCTCAGCACTGTACTGCATGGATCTGCCTGTTCTGCTCCCCACACTGTCTCTGGTGAATCTTTTCAGCCCTACACCTCTGGTCTGTACCCCAGTTGTTGCAATGCATTAGT